CACAAATACTCACAGTGGAAAAGAGAGAAGCAGCAACTGCACAGTAGAGCAAAAAAAAGGAATATTCCACTTGTATAATAATATGTACCCCTTAATAGAAAAGAAAAGGAAACAACACACAATACCCAAGTAATAGAGAGAGCCAAACGCACACACAATACCCCATGGCTCTAGTTTATGTATTAAACTACTGCACACACACACATCTGTGTGTACTAGCAAGAGATGTATACCGTCAGTGAGCAGAACAGCCCAGTTTTCTGCAAACACACACAACGGGAAAAGCAAGTAATGGAATTAATAGAAAAATAAACACACACAGAAAAGTAAAAGAAAAGAAATTCGAATTAAAAAAGAAAGCTGGTAAACATATTATTAGTTTATTCACCCATGGGGTATATAAGCAATTATGTTGATGTTAGTATAACCATTATTATTATTATTATTATTATTATTATTATTTGTCCTCAGATGAGTCCCACCGTTCAGTACACGGTAGCGGAGACCAACACAGCCACAATCAGTAGCGGTGCTGCAGTATGCATCCACACAGGACTGACACTGCTGTCAACAATGGGTCTGTTCTTCTGCATGGCAGAGGTGATGTTGATCTCTGCGTTGGGTACAGGAGATGGAGATGGGGTGGTGGTTGGTGCTTCGCTGTTAATGTTGGTGGTGGTGGCTGCAGAAGCATCGACATTCCCTTCTGAGACTGCGGTGGCAGGAGGAAGTGTTGTTGTTGTGGTGGTGGTGGTGGCGTTCGATTCCTTATTATTAAGGGTATTGACACTGTTTGAGTCCCTGTTTACAGAGTTGTTGTTCTCTGTTGTACTTGCAGCTGGAGTGGTTTGGTTGGCTTTACTGTCCGCGTTAGTTGTACTCCTGCCGCTGCTTCCAGCTTGGTTGTCCCCTGCAGACGCAGCCTCAGTCCTCTCGGCAGGTACAGGTGCTGGAGAAACAGCAGCAGCAGGAGAATGGCCAGAATTAGTACCAACACCGGGAAGATTAATATCAGAAGCAGCAGCACCATCAGATGCATGAGAAATAGCATTACTTTCGTGAGCTGACTCCGACACACCATCCTGACCACGTGGTGACTCACCTGGAGTATTCTCCTCTGTTCTAACTACAGTAGTTACCGCAGGTGGGAACTGTCCCGCTGCTTCACTTGCACTCGCAACCGCTGGCGCCTTCAGTTTAGTACGTTTAACCTCATTCTCCGGATTATGTGATGTATTGTAGTTTAATAACGTACTTCCCGAACTTTGTGGATCCGTTTCTGAAAAAATAGTAGAAAAATCAAAATCTCCTAAAGGATCGAAAAAAGCCATCACCGCCTTTGGCTGTCCAGCATTAACAGTAGTAGAAGCAATGGTTGTTGTTGTTCTTGCTGCTGCTCTTGCGGTACGCTGGCGGCAGAGGTCTGCGTACTTCCCACATGCAGACACACGGCTGCCCGCACCGCATGTAAGCCACTCGCT